CCATTGTTGATCTGCTGAATGTAATGGTGTGGGACAACAACCCCTGGAATTTAAAGAAATGTACGAGAGGAATACAGTACTCACAGTTCTTCAAACAAATCTTATGGACAGACGAAGCTTTTTTTTGAGGACAAGTAATCTATAACAATCATAACTTACCTCACTGGGCTCTATAGAATCCACGAATGATAAGGCACGACCTCTTCTAGCAAAGACACTCGGAGCAAACTTTTGGGCTCGGCTACTGAATGGCCAATTAATTGCCCATTTGAGCTACCATGATGTGCTTCCAACATGATGAGGCACCTCCACACAAGCCGATGGATAGGACGATGAGTAACTATAACCTGACCGCCTCGTTCACCGGACCTCAATTCCATCGATTTTTTGGGGCTATATAAAGGAAGTCGTGATTTATAATGAAACTTCAATCGTTTTAAGAGAACGCATTGCTACTGCGAGCAACAGCCCCCGCAGTAATCCACACATGATACAGCGGGTTGAAAGAATTTTTTTATGACGATGCAGAGCTTGCGTTAGAGCAGGAGGAAGACACTTCGAAGATTTCCCTGTAAAGATTGCCTCATATGCCTCATATATTCAGAGCCGCAACATATTTTATGAAAAAAAAAGAATGATCCTGAGAATATTGAGGAAATAAAACTTACATTCAAGGATTTGGTGTCTTCTATTTGAATTACATAAGGATGATAATTGGGCTGCACTGTTTCAGTAACGCTTTTAACTTCCAAAATAATACCAAGGCCGTCAACCCTTGCAACCATTAGAGCTAGACTTCGAATAGGTATGAAGATGCATTATCATAAAAGTGTTTGTTCGTTCTATTTGGAAGGAAGATCAACAATGAAGGGTTAAGTTGAAAAAATGTGGATTTCCGGATTTAGTGTACCTGCAATATTTTGTCTACCGCTTCGCAGAAACTGTTTAGGATATTTGATTATCTAAGAGGTATTTTGAAAGGCCATAGTATCAGTAAGTTTTTCATCAGTACGGAGACTTTATCCGTGTACTAATTTTTTTTACAGGCGTGGCTGACTATGCTATAATCTTTTTGACAAAATGCAGATTAGCCAATTGATGTACCTACATTACCTGGACTAAATTTTCACTCAGATTTTTTCCTAGCCTCATTTGGAAACATATCCTGTAAATATGATTGAAAAACAACAAAAGACAACTTCAGAAAAGATAGTACAGTCTCAAAAGTAGCGACTTACCACAATTTTTTGAAAATGTCGATACCTCAAAAACCGCGCACAATCGGATAAGAACATATGGTTTTTCTGATTACAAATGCTCCCCCTATTACCCCCATTAGTTTGCTCTGCTCTTCAAAGTGTTTCGCAAACATCAAGTTGACCCGGAGCACTGTCTATATTATATGTTCCGATTCTAGATAATTACAATATTATTAACAAAACAGATCATCGACGATACACACGATCTGTTTTTAACTTGAGTTGTTTTAGTTTAAGGATTTTTAAAATACGTATTTTGGGAAATAATACAAAAAAATGTAATATATCAGATTTAGGATTCTCCTTCTTAGAAGCAGCTCAGAGTAAAACAGGTTAATTTACCAATACCATACTTTTCTGTGTGCCTCTTTTATTTCTTTTCCATTCTACTCGTCCCATGTCCGTGGGTCTCTTTGATAATAATTGCTTTAATTTGGAGCGGTTACCATCGCTTACAACTAGATTAATCCTTGCACAGGCATCCCATTCAGTAGGGCTGCGTTGACCACATTGGGTCTCAGGAGATCCTGCTCTCCACCTCTGAAGCTTCATTATTGCCAGAAGTATACAAAGGGCGGAGGATAAATTAAATTATTCTGATTCGTTAACGCCTAAAAGGGACAAGGAACATGCGATGCCGCTCTCGGTGATTTCTATGTATGTATACACAGAGACTCGGAATAAGTCTCTAATGCTTCCATAAATAAGTGTTTCCATCACATTTGTTACTATCCTTTAAATACGCAATGTATGATATTGAAATGTACATATGTAACATCTTTAAATTAAACTTTTTGTAACCCCAATTTTTTAAACCGAGAGTACTTACAACAAAAACATAATATGCCCATCTTTTACTTGGAATTCGGTTGCAGAACCGTTTCATACTAAAATGGCCGTATTTGAACTCAGTGCTCCAAACTAATTAGGTGTATCAAGTTGTATTTACTTCTAACAATAAGAGAGGGAAATGAAAATTGTTCCCAATATAATCCTATAAAGTTTTGAAGTATTTAGGTATCCTTACTACCATTTCTGTAAGTTAAAAATCTGGAGACAAGGCTTAATATACTCACAATATTATTCTTTAGTATTTCAGTATCGCTTTATCTGGAGATCTCTTCTAACAGATTAGTCGCGGTTTGTCTGGCCTCCGCATAAACAAAAGCTTCTGTTTTCTTAGCTGGGCGTCTTCAAGTTCCACAAGAAATTTAACGAATATTTCCCTCAAAAACTAAGAGTGCCTTTCACTCTAAGGATCTTAAAAAGTTGAATAATTACTTTGCTCTTCAGCCAAGTCGTATTATATAAATTAAAATGAATTATCTGCTTCCATTTCTTTCCCTGTTATTGAGTTAATCCTCGGAAGAAGATTAGTTAATTAAGCTGAAAATTTAATTTGGTTAATTTTGGTCACGGTGTTATTCTAAAATTTAGTTCAACATTGTTTTTGAGCGAATATGGTCGTTGATTCTCTAAAATGGAATTTGATATAACTTTCAATTTTAATACCCATTGTAATACTTAAACTTTATAATAGTTGTGAAGGTCGTCTGTCACGATACAAAATGTTGTTCATAATTTGGTAACAAATTTTGTGAGAAAATGCGTTACTGAATTTGGTTCCCATTTTTTTACAAGTTATAATCCTGTCTGTCAAATATTTTGGTAATAAATTTAGTACGAAATCATGCGCAGTCGGTAGAAAAAAACTATAACTGTTAACTTCGAACTGCCATTTATCACATCAAAATCATACTTACCACACTTTTCATTTCGGCTTGTTCTTTATTACTTTAAACGAATAGAAAATTATAGAAAATGAAGCGATCCCGTAATTCGCATATATTATATGCACGCGCCGGAAGTTGGCGCCCCTTTTTGCAACACCATTGATTAGTTTCAGAATTCTGAACAACTTTCGAATAGTTCTACAGTATGAATAGTATTAGAGTTCTTAATAGTTTTTAGCAAGAGTTCGGCAAAATTTCTGAAATTAGCATCAACCATCTACTAGACAGTCACATTTATCGCGAGAAAATTCGACAAGTACACCGCACTCCAGTACAGTAAGCCTCACACATTCATCCAATCAATGATTTTCAATAATTTTCAAGTACTGAAATTGAGGATTCTATGAGAAAAAACTACACCTAGCTAAGAAAACGTAATCAAATATCACTAACTCACATGAGACTGTACAAAACCAAAAAGTGCGGAGTCTAGCATAGCCCCATACCTTTAGATATATCTAGCTCAATACTGGTTACAATTTCAAAAGCAGAACTCGGGGGTGCCATTAAAAAACTACTCTTGGTTGGGAAAAATGTCGAGAAATACCTTCCAAACTCCCACCGGGAGATGCTAGAACTCCGCGTTTCTCGGTTCTGTACAGTAGCGTATGTCCTAAAAGTTTTGGCACAAAATATTTATCGGATTTTTTTTAATGAAGGAATTTATTTAAATACTAACATAAATTACAACTCAATACTTTGCTAAAATTCAGGTATACTATCGAATTAATGCCTCTCATGAGGTCCTGGATGGAATTTAATTCAATTTCTCCCTTCGTAAATTCGCCGTCTTAATTGTTCTTCATCTTGGGCTTCCCAGCCTCCATGATAAACCTTCCTAATCAGTAAAGCCCAAATATCCCATATTGGGCGAGCCTGCGGCAAGTTTGAAGGATAATCGTTTTTGAAAACAAAAGGTAGGGTAAACATGGTAGTTATTGGACACTTAAGATTCTTTTCAGACTCAAAACAATGGTAAAGGTTGAAAATTAACTTTATAAAAGTGTGCTTTGCGGTGAATGTAAATCTAACATTCTAACTTATAGGCGAGGTGGCGATTAATTTTTCGTACAACAGATTTTGAAAAAATTGAAAAAACAATGCGGAGTCCCCCAAAATGCCAGTTATTGGACAAAAAATCCAGTTACTGGACACATAACATTGAGTTATTGGACAGACATAAGGCAAACTGTTCCATATCAAAGAAGCTTTTTATTGGAGGTTTTAAGACATCAGAACAGACCTTCAGTTAAACTGAACATAAACGGATACTTCTGTCTGGTACCATTCAAATAGCTCGTACACCTCCATCCCTTCATCGCTGTTGCTTGATTCTCTGTCATTCAATCCCGAACATTCACTAAATCGTTCTTCTTCGTCTTAACTTTCCTCTTTATAACAGTCATGGCAAATGAATAAATCGTCATCACCTAATTGCGGCATGTGCTTATGGTGACCTTTTGGAACACACTGACGATGCATCCTTCTGTTGCAAGAGTCGCACAACAGATAGCTTTTTGTAGCTTTGAGCGTACAGATGCTACATTTTTCTGCAGTAATTGTCTTCTTTTTTGCTTCTTTAGCTGCATCAATTTCCTCTCTTTTTCTTTATCTTTCTTGTTTCTCGGCTTCCATTTGTGACTTTAGAGCGCGTTTCTTTTCAATGTCTTCTTGGTACCTTCTTGATGTCACAGCAAATGTTGCGCGCTCTACTTGACGCTTATTTTTTCTTTCAGGCTTTTCTGGTACATCTAAGTAGCTGGAAATGCTCGTACTAGAAGGCAGTGTTGGTGGCGATTGAGTCACACTCATAATATTTCCTTCTTTTATAACGATGTTTTCTAAGACTTGGATTGTTTTTGGATCATTGTTTGTTTCCTGCAACGCAGTTTTTTCATCGGATGAAAAATCTGATTCTCCAAAAAAACTCCAAATGTTGTAAAGTATCCGACATTCGTCACATATACCTTCTGTGGGCTCTGCAGTTGCATCAAATGATTTGAATTTGTTCTCCCACTAAATTTACAAACGATTTTTGATCCATACTTGGTGATTGCATAATATCTTCTTTCATATCTACTAATGTTTTCCTTCCCCAGACACTTACTATAGTCAACTGTATCTGGATTCAGAGGAAATAGGCCACATGCACGGAATCCAGAGTTTCTGACTTAACGATATTTTTTACAACATTTTCTAGAAGTGGAGCAAAAGTGAGTTTGTTTACGAGCTCTCCTGGATTTTTCTCGTTAAATTCCCTAACAGCTTTTTTCCACCGCCACATCGCATGGTTGAAGGATCCTTGTAGCATTAGGGTACAAAGCTATCTTCGATGTTGAGATCATTACAAAGTAGACTCAGCTCATATGTCAGGTATGACTCATGACCATCTAAAAATAGCACAATTGGAAAAGTGGTGTCCTTATCAACTAAAAATGGATGAAATATATTTTTTATGTATTCATAAAATGTATCTGCAGTCATCCAACCATTATCAGATCTTCCAACTCCCCAGTCCGGATTCACTGTTAAACTTATTTTTTCTGGAATTCTCTTATAGCGGTAAATTATCATCGGCGGACAAGTGATTCCAGAAGCCGAAAATGAAAACATAACAGTAATATTCTCTTTAGGAGATCCCTTTTCGACAGTGTATATATTTTTCGCACCTTTTGCAGCATAAACTTTACCCGTATTCGGGAAAACTTGAAAGCCCGTTTCGTCGCAATAGTAGTCTCTGGAACGATCTTCCATGCTAATATTTTTTGAATCCAGGTACTTTTTTATATCGGTGAACCAGTTCCGTATGTCCTTTTCTGCCACACAAGCACTTGCCGCACAACTGGTTCGCTTGTTCGTTGTCTAATAGATGACTGTCTTTTTAGAAATGCTTTGAACCAACACTCTCCTGGTCTATTGTTGTTGAATGGATTAGGATTTTCTATTAAAAATTTTTGGACGCTATGCATTATGCCATCTTTTTTTCTCGGAAAACCACGGGACGCAAGCTCTTTTATCCACTCAATAAGTTCATATTCTTCTTTTGTCGAAAGTACTGGAGATGGGCCGCATGTATTTTTATGACCTGGATTTTTTATTTTGAATTCTAATGTGGATTTTGGAATCCCATATTTATTAGCTGCAGCCCTGTAAGACATGTTACTATTTTTAACTTCCTGTATTGCTAAATACATCACATTTGCATCAAATGAATGCTTTTTTGGCATGTTTGGTAACCTTTGGATGACCTGGAAACCACAAGCTTAGTCATCGGACACGTACTAAGTTAGTTATTGGACAGGTGTCCAATTACTATAGGTACATCATATAAATCCCTTTCATTTGTATATTTGAATTCAGAAGAACATTCTGGGAAAGTAGTGCAGTCAAACTGAAAATGTCATGCAAATTTCAATTATTGGACAAATGTTCAACGACTGAAAAACCTAAAAAAATCATCGTAGTTATTGGACACCCTTCCAAAACATAACCTTACAGACCTGTTATTTTTGAAGAAATACTATAGAGATGCTCACCCTTGGACTAGCGGTACACTTTGTATATAAATTAAGTTTTCCTTAGCAGTTGATAGTTCAACCTTTTCACAACTTCATCACACACCCTTAACAAAACAACAAGCAAACTGCCTCAACAACACAGGTAGCAGGTACGTGTGATTTGGCGCCAAAATGGATAACAGGATGCCTTGCATGTAAGATGAATCATGCTGCCATGATCATAGTTTTGCGATCTAAGACCGAATAACTAACTCGTTTACCCTATGTTGTGTTGTCGAAGACTGTTTTGGGTATCTCTTGAGTAATGGCATGATGCTAGGTCTGGCCAAAATATGATATGACTATTAGCATGATATTCGTGGATAAAGTGAAGCAATTTGGAAAGCCAGTTATTAATATAGGTCTGGCTATTCGAGGCTTCACCCGTCACTCTTCACACAAAAGATTGTGATACACCTCTGTTAGAAATTACGTACCAGACAATGATTTTATCCGCAAATTTCGCTTTATATTTTTATCTAACATTGTCAGGGCGTTCCTCTACGTTGTCCGTATAAAATCCGTCGTTTCCCTCCATTTAAGAATTACTTAAAGTGAAATACTTTTCGTCATCTAAAATAATGATTTTTCCATTGGCAAGGTGTACCCGGCTCAGTTGACTACAGCATCTAGGTATACGAAGGAGTTGCGTTCGAGACTATTTGGGCACTTAAGTATCTTTCGATATTTGAGACCATTCCTCCTCAATTCCAACGATACCATACTCTGAGAAAATCTGAATTGACGAGAGAGTCTCCTTGTTGACATTCGAATCTGATTTACTCTCCTCACCAATCTCTCTCACCTCTGTGCAGTACAGGCTCCACTTCTACTGTTTGGGAGATTCAGACATGGTATTCCCTGTTCGCACTCCGCTATTGTTCGATAAATGCTTCTGCGGGAAATGTTTTTATTCTGGAATATTCGACAGATTTCAGCTTTGGGTACTCGCCCTACCCCCTTGCAGATACAGATGAATGTGAACGGACAGTAAAGTAAGTAAACAAACTTCTGTTTCGGAAGGCAACTCGATATAACTTTGTGTTTGCTAAAATTAAAGCCAATAGATTTTGTGCAAAAACTTTTAGAACATACATTATCATGTGGGTTGGTGATATTTGCTTACATTTTATTAGTTAATTATAGTTTTTTCTCGTAGAATCCTCCATTTCAGTGTTTGAAAGCGATTGGTTGGATGAATGTGTGAGACGTACTGTGCTGGAGTGCCGTGTACTTGTCGATAAATGTGACATGCTAGTGGATTGTCCTGTGGATGATTGATGCTGATTTTTATTTTAGAAATTTTGCAGACCTTTTGCTAAAAACTATTGAAAAATGTAAAGCTGTTTACTTCCTTGAGAATCCACAGCACTAAGCTCATGTTTGACGTAAGCGGGTCGGTGTGAAGTTAGCACCTCCAAAACTTTTTCTTAAACATTTCTCAAAAAACTGCAGAATTATTGTCGCACCCCCATAGGAACTGTATAACTATTTGAAAGTAGTTCAGAACTCTAAAACTAATCGATGGTGCTGCAAAAAGGGGGTGCCAGCTTCTGGCGGGTATTATATGCGACTGCGGGACCCGCGTTGTAGCTGTCCACCAAGGACGTCTAGTGTAGGATCCACTGGTTATAGCCCTGATTGGTTCTAAAGTCATTCTGATTTTATCCAACGCAGCTTATTTGGTGTCTATGTTCTTCTGGCCTTGACCATGAAATCTTTTGAGTTTTTCAATCTACGAGTACAGCATAAGCAGGGAGTTTCGCGAAACTGATGAACACAACTGGTTAGGCTCGAGGTTAGGCTTGTTTTTGTAAACCAATTATAATCGCATCTAATCATTACAAAGGACAAGGACAAAACATGTAATTCCTTGTCACGTAGCGCTTCTATCAGCCACTGTACTGCTTCAAATGCGAAGTAGGCGTCTACTCACTTTTAGCATGATATTATTTAGAACAGGTTTTAAAAAATTTAGCACTAAATTTGTTCATACAATATTGTGTACTAAATGCTGTCTGACACTATCCTTAATTTTGTATGGAATTTACCGTATTAAATTCAGCTAAAAATTGCGTACCGTGACAGATGGTCTTTAGAATGTAACATATTAGATGAAAATTCGATTTAAAAATGTTATGAAGATACATAAACAAGGTATGTATTGGAAAAAAGTCCTTTGTAATTCTACTAGATGGCGAAGTATAGTAAAAAATTGATGGGTCGTTGCACTGTTTCAGAAGTTCGCTTTCCTTATTTTGCCGTATCATGTTTCACCCAGAAGCAAGCATTATTCAGACAAAAACCGTGCGTGTGTTTGTGAAAAAACCACCGCACCGCACTCAGTTACCCTTATACGTCTCCATTACCCCGTGATGACGCTTTTGTTTTGGCCTTTAGTTCAGGACAATTATTAACCTGAGAAATCATGGAATTTCATTTTTTAAAGGTTAAGGATAAAAAACAGCTCAGTGGAGTGTATCCTATTATTGCTCCTTAAATCCCATTCTTCTATATACTCAATGCCAACATGGAAAATGCTCAGAAATACTCAGAAAGACAATATTTATTATATGAGAACAAAATAAGTACGTGGCATTTAGGATTAACTAGTGTAATAATATTAAAAATAAACATAAAAAACTTCATTGCTCTGTTAACAGACAGAAATAGAACATTCTGAGGGACCCCGAGACATGTCCGAGCAATTCCACACAAAACAATGTCTTTGATAGCGACATGAGACCGAAAAACTCACATTATCTTATAGACGCTAGACGAAACAAAGATGGATGTCTATAGATCATCTATAGATCGTGTCTTGAGACCGTCTCCAAGCTAAGCTCAAGGACTAAGACTCTGAACTGCCCATGAAACAAATCAAAAAGATTGGTGCAAATCAAGCTCAATAAAGCACTCCTATTATATCAGCAGGTGATAAAAATATCATTAGGTATAGTTAATTATTTTTTGGAATTCAATATAGATGTTACAGTTATTCTTCAGAGTTTCGTTGTCGAACTTCAATTTACGGCATAAATGTTGTTTTCTCAGTTTTCGAATAGCTGTTCAACGCATGTAAAAATATTGGAAATCTTTGGAAAAAACTATATCTGTTAAATTGTAATTACTTTGATAATGCATGTTTGTACGGATCAAGAGCAGGAATACATATTCACGTGAGGTGCAGAAGCTCTGTGATTTAAACGAATTCAATATAGCAACATAAATAGACACATGCGCGGGAAGACATGCCGGACGTGTGGTATTGACTTTGAACATCGATGGACGCACTTTTTGGACAGGCCACAGGCGTACCGCTGAACAAATCTCATAAATGTGTATTTCCAATTTGGGCGTTCATCTTACATAGTGCTTCGCTGCAACACCAGCCTCGAACAAAATCAGTCAAGCTTTACACAATTTTCAAATTACTATTGAGCAACAAACAGAATATAAGTCACTTTTTAAGTGCAATCTGTATAGCTAGTATATTACTCAGACTTAGGTTTGTCACAAGTCACAATACTCGTATATACGTATAAAATCGTAAGAATTGTGGTGTAAACGTAAGTGAAGTCAAAGGGCGACAGCGTTTGGAATACCAAAAAATCGCAATGCTCAGTTCCTAAAGCTATAACTTATAGTTAGTATAGCTCTCTCGCCATGATGTGTCAGAAAGTAACACAATGGCGTTAGAAAAGCAAGTATCTGACGCCCCCCGCGCCTGTCCCCCCTAAATCCGCTACTGTTGACGAGTCGATCTGACAGACTTAGAACATGATGGTATCATGGCGAAAACTCAAAGTAACATATTCTGCTGGAATGTCCATAGAAAAGAGCAACATTACTCGCTGCCCGTCGATGTGGGCAAAGTTGTGTTTGATATGAAATTGGCATTGGGCGAAACCCATTTGCCACATACTGAAGTGAGAAAAGTTTGAAACTATTTTTTAAAGGAGTATCAGCTATCTTCCTTTCCAATATACGAACAAAATGGTCAGTGTAGTTGGGGCACACAATGCTGCGTGTTTGATATGTTAAACTGCCACCAAATTATGGCCTCCTCAATCATCAAACAGCAATAACTTCAGCGTTTCGTTAGAAAAGAAATCGCTGCTAGTCTTCCAGCTCAACCACAAGGATCAGTATGGCTCTGTGATAGCCTATATGCAAAGTGTTGACATTCATGAATCT